GGTCCTTTGATGTGTTTGTGTGTATGTGTGTGTGTTTTGTTTAATCCATAGCAAACCTTTTCGAGATCGCGGGTTGATGATTGATGATTAGGAATTCGATTTTAGAAAGTTTAGAGATGTATAGCCACATCAATTTTTTTTATTTAGATGTGAAATAGACAAAATAAAAAGTTTAATACCCTATTTAGCATTTCAATGGGGGCTTTATGACGCTGAAGTTCCTAAAAATAACATCAATGATCTTTTAAACCAAAACATTAGTACATAAAGACATTTCAATTCAAGCTTTTTCTTTTTACTAAACCTAAAAGCTCTTATGATCTCTCATAAATTTGATGACAAACACACCATTAGTATATATGACAATTGTTAGTCAAAGACACTTACACCCACTTCGCAGACCCCTTCGACAAGAAGATGAATGTCGAACACACAATTAGTATATATGACAACTTTTAGTCAAAAGACACTAACACCCTCTTCTCAAAACCCTTCCACACTCCACAAGTAGATGAATATGAATGTGCCATTTTCTTCTTCCCCTACTACTACCTAAATCCTATAAAAATCAGAGGGATGTAAGGTTGGCAGCCCCTATTGAGGATAGAAACACATTTCTCGACGATGACCTCCTAAAAAACTAAGACAAATAAATAAATAACTAAAAGATGTCTTGTTTGTGCTTCACACAATCTATAAACATAAATAATACTCCAATAGTATATGGGGAAGACATTTTTTCTTATAAGGATACACAAATAGAGAGCATATTCTAATGAACTACTCTGCAGAAATGTGTAAGGTCTGCGTATGTCTGGTTATATGAGAAATAAACGAATCCATCTCTAAACGGCGTACTCCACCTTCCGTCACCGATCTTTTGACGTTATCCCCCAACCTGGTGGCTCTCCTCCGCATCTCCTCCCCTTCCTCCGAACCCATCAGTCTCTTAACGGCCTCTTCCACCGCCACCGCCGTCACCAACTCCTTCCTCCGCTCCCAATCCTTCACCACCACACCAATTCCAAGAACATCCGTAATCAGAAACGCATTTCTCGGCTGATCGGAGTGCATCGGCCATGTCGCCATTGGCACTCCCATCGATATACTCTCCATGCTCGAATTCCATCCACAATGACTCATAAATCCTCCCGTCGCAAAATGCCCCAAAATCTCCAGTTGAGGTGCCCACCGCCGCTCAATCAAACCTCTCCCGTTAACCCTCTCTTCAAACCCATCGGGCAATCGAACCATCGTATCGCCGCCGCCGGAATTGCCCACATCCGCCATGTCTGCTGCTCGAACCACCCAGATAAACCTCTGTTCGCTTCTCTCTAAGCCGATAGCCAATTCCCTAATTTGATCATCGCTGAAGGTGGTCGTCGTTCCGAAAGAAACGTAAATGACAGAATTAACAGGTTGATTGTCAAGCCATTGCAAGCATCTGTGGCGGGTTTCTAAAGGTGTCACATCGGATGGAATTTGGACGGGATTAACCGGTCCAATAGCCCATATCTTCTTCTTCTTCCCGGAGATCTCTTCTCTCTCTAGATATTCGATGAATTCGCCTTCGATGGCTCTCGAGGAATCGAATAACTCGCCGACGGCGAGATTCATGTGGGCTTGTTGAAGTTTTGTGAATTTTTTGAACTCCGGAGTGGTAGTTTCACTTTGAGAAGGAAGGCGGTTTAGCAAATTCCGGTCAACCGGAAAAGGTCTGCCGGCTTTCTCCCAGAAATCCCAGAAGGTGTAGAAGACGGAGAGTGGACGGAAGTTGTATGTCTCGGCGTTTGGTATCGATTTGACGTCTTGAACGACGTATGACATTAGAGAGTCGTGGATGACGGCGACTCTGGTAGCTGTTTGTGAGAGGGAAAGAATAAGATCGGCGACAGGGCAGCGGAGATGGAGGGTGGAGTCGAAGGAGGATTGGAGGTGGGAAGGGAAGGGGATGGAGGAGTTTGGAGGAGGGGTAGTAAAGGGAGGTGTTGGGAATTCGTGAAAGTGGATGTGATTGTTATCGGAGAAACTGTGGTGGCGGGCTCGGGCTTGGCGGAGGTGAGCGGCTGTGGAGACGAAGTGTACGGGAATGTCGTAGGTTGATATGAAACCGGAGAGGTGGAGAAGCTGGTTGAGGTGACCGTGTGCTACGAACGGCACCATCACCACCACCACACGGGTTTGGTCGCTGCCGGTCATCTTGGGTTTTTGTTTATCCGCCGGAGCTCTAACTAGACTTTTATCGTACTGGTTGATTCAATGATACGAAAGTTACTTTATTTTAATTATGTTCGGAATATGTTGGTTTTTTTTTTTTTTTTTAAGGGAAAATGACATAAAAACCCTTAAGTTTTCACAAAAATGTCGGTTTTACCCTAGGACATGTTTTATGTCCAGTAAAGCCCGAAGTTTTGTTTAATTTGTTCATTTTTACCCTTGTAGCCGGTTTTCAGGTAACCTACCGGTTATCTAATGTCAGTAAAGCCCTTGAATTTTCAAAAATGTTCAGATTTACTCTTAAGTTTTTCAAAAATGTTCGGATTTACCTTACATTGATTATTGTTGTTACTAGTATTATTATTATTATTATTATTATTATTATTATTATTAATACATTTTTAATTATATAAAAAAAATTATACATACATTTTTAAATATATAAAAATATTTTATACACACATTTTTAAATCTCTAAAAATATTTTTACTAATATAAATATATTTTTAAAAATATATGTACTTGTATTTAGTATTTATATACATTTGAAAACCCTAAATCTTCATCTATAATTGTTGAATCGAACAGAAAAAGCTTGATAAAATAAAAAATGTCGTCAATGGCTGATTTTGCAAAAACAAATGCTTCATATCAATATAAAAAATGATGCATTTCGTGATCTTTTTTTGTGAACTTACAACAAACATAAATGAAGTTTACACTCGTATTTGACATTTCGTTATCAATTTTTTAGATAAAAATAGTTAATGAATGATTTTAAGTTGATAATACTTAATTTTTACAGTGATCAAATGTTTTTGTCGAGGGTTTTTTTAATTATATTATGTATTTTCAATTTACGAGTGTTATTTGTTGATCATTTATTGTTATCTACTCCCTATTAACCTAATATAGTTGAATAATAGAGGTTTTTTCAAATTTTATACTAAATCTTATCTGTAATCGAGTGTTTTTATTGAGGTTTTCTAATTACGAGGGTTTTATAATTGTTACGTTATGTTTTTAATTAACGAATATTTATTTTGCTTATCTATTTAGTATGATGTTTGATAATAAATACATATTTATACTTGGTAATATGTACAAATACATATAATTATATCTTTTTATATAATATAAACCATATAAATATGTATTTTTATATTTATATGTATATAATATATTTTTATATGAAACAAATATATATTTATACTTATACCTACTAAATACAAATAAATACATTTTTAAAAATGTGTGTATAAAATATTTTTATACATTTAAAAATGTATTAATAATAATAATAATAATAATAATAATAATAATAATATGTATAAAAATGTATTAAAAACGTATGAAAAAATTTTATTCATTTAAAAATGTATGTAAAAAATATTTTTATACAATTAAAATTGTATGAATAATAATAATAATAATAATAATAATAATAATAATACTAATAATAATAATCAAAATAACAATCAAGGTAAGTGCAAATTCGAACATTTTTGAAAAACTTAAGGGTAAATCCAAACATTTTTGAAAATTCAAGGGCTTTACTGGCATTAGGTAACCTAGGTAACCGGTAGGTTACCTGGAAACCGGCTACAAGGGTAAAAATGAACAAATTAAACAAAACTTCGGGTTTTATTGGACATAAAACACGTCCAATGGTAAAACCGACATTTTTGTGAAAACTTAAGGACTTTTATGTCATTTTCCCTTTTTTTAATGTCTATTATTATAAATTTGTAGGGTTTAGTTTAAAAAAAGGTAATGTAGCTATTTGTATTGTCATTTTTTGTGATATATAGTATATAATTATAATAATATTATTGAATTATAAAAATAATTCTTTTTGCAATTATTTGACATATTTTGTGTGATTTTTATTTTTTTATTTTTTATTTATTTTTATTTATTACTCCCTCCGTCCCAATATTATTGTCCACAGACAAAAAACACACATATTAAGAAAAACATTAATTACCACTAACTTTATTTAATAAAATGACAGTTTTGTCTTTACTTTGCATTTAATGTTCCATTAAATGCTTAGTTGGTTAAGTAATAATGAGGGGGTATTTTGGTAAAAATGTTATTTATTTTTAGAAGTTGACTTATATTTTGGGACAAACCAAAAATGAAAGATGGACTATAATTTTGGGACGGAGGGAGTATTTGTTTTTGGATGGATGTGGTCGGCAATATTTGTTACTTCTTGATGTTGTGGGCCGGATGAAACCTTTGGTATTATCCATGTTGTGGGCTGCAACCTTTTGGACATCTTTTGCCAATGTTAACAAAATGGGGGTGAGTGAGCACGGTTAACCCTTAAGTTTTATGGCGATTTTAACTTGTCAATTTTGTATATAAAAAAAGACAAAACTGCAAATTTAGTCCCTGTGGTATTCAAAAAACTTTGGATGGGGTCCAAAAGCTTTCCCACTTGCATGGAAGGTCCAAAATCAAAACATTTCCTTGATTTTGGTCCAAAAAATCTTGAAAAGACGATTATGCCCTTTTCATTTTTTTGTATTTTTTTTTATATTTTCTTTAATAATTTATTAATCAAAAATTAAAAATGAAAGAATTGGGCCCACCCCCACTCTCTCTCTCTCTCTCTCTCTCTCTCTCTCTCTCTCTCTCCAGATCTTTTATGAATGGATGAATGAAAGGGCTGTTGATTTCTGAAGATAATCAATATTTTGAATAAACTTCTCGATTTAAGCATATACTGAAGAGGTGTAAAGTTAGGTCTTCGATTTTAACAGAGGGAGAAAGGGATGAAAGGGTGTTCGTCTTCACCAAAAGGATCTCCAGATCCTCAGTCGAAACCTGATGCCGCTGCCCTTCTTGTTTTTGTTTATGCTTCAAGTTGTCGATAAAGGTTTTCGTTCAAGATCTGGATTAGGAATCAATCGCTGGAAACACTAGCAATCAACCACCGCAGCCATTCCGACGAACGCTAGGTTTCAAACGATGATGTCGTCGGATCTATCTCTAACCCTAATCAAAATCCGTCTCCACAACCGAGATCTGAAGACGAAACGAGATCTAAAGGCAAAATATTGATTTCTAGAGTGTATGTGTCTGTTCGTATTTGAAGGCAAAAATCGATTTCTTTCCCCTGAATTCTGGCATTTGTCTATTAGCTATGAGATGAACATAAGATCTTCATCTTCATATTTCCCCCGATTTCTTCATCTTCATCTAGTTCCCAAATATTCATCTTGTTGAGCCTTGTCTGTATGTGTATGAATAAGGAAGATAGAGAAAAAAAAGAGAGAGAAAGTGAGAGAGTGTATGAATCTGGTTCAAACATTCATCAGATGGTAGTGGTGATATTCCATTTTTCTGAAAATCAGAATGATGAAGATGGGTTTTGTGGGGAGAGAGAGAGAGAGAGAGAGAGAGAGGAGAGAGAGAGAGAGAGAAGAGAGGGGGGATGGTGGGTGGGGTGGGGGATAATTTTTTTTCTTTTTTCTTTATTTTTTAATTAGAATACTATTATAATAATTATAGAAAATACAAAAAAGAAAATAAAAGGGCATAATCGTTTTTTCAATTTTTTTTGGACCAAAATCACGGAAATGTTTTGATTTTGGACCTTCAATGCAAGCAGAAAAGTTTTTGGACCCCATCCAAAGTTTTTTGAATACCACAGGGACTATATTTGCAGTTCTGTCATAAAAAAATTATACTATTATAGATTTATATAGACAAAACCGCGAAATTAGTCATTGTCGTATTCAAAAAACTTTGGATAAAGTCCAAAAAGTTTCCAATTTGCATGAGTGGTCCAAAATCAAGGTTTTCTTTTGGTTTTGGTCCCTAGAGAACTTGAAAATACTGTTTTGCCATTTTAATTTCTTTTTTGTATTCTTTTTATATTTCCTTTCATAATTTACTAATTAAAAATAAAAAATGAAAGAATTTGGCCCACCCCCACCCCCACCGATACTCTCTCTCTATCTATCTATCTATCTCTCTCTCCTATCGTCTTCATCCTTCTAATATACAATGGTCTCTCTCTTTCTCTCACACGTATTTGACAAAAGTATGCATTCTATGATTTTTAGTTCCCTCACTGATTTGATGAACTGATTCGGTGAGTCCACCTGACACAGAAGCAATAAGATAAACATATTAAGTTTTGAAAGAGTTGAATAGATTTCATAGCTTTTGGGGGTTTACAGGTAACTGGGTTTTTGCTTATAATCATATGGGTTTTTCTTTAGTTGAATTTGGAATGATAATATTAGTCTCCCACAAATTTCTTTGATGGAAATTGGCTCCATATTTTGTGCTAAGTATTTGAGTAATTTCCCCTGTATCTGAATTTAAATTTGAAAAAAAAAATCGAACCTAATTGTTCTCAAATTGAGAATCGTTTTTAACCAATAGTTTAATATAATATTCAATTTTTGCAAATTTCCTTACTATTTGATACACGATAGATTTAAGACAAATATGGTTTGTTCTCTGATAATCGTAGCCTTCTAGTTAGGAGTTCGAATGTCAAAGGTCAAATATCGATCTCTCTCAGATGCAATACAGTCAAATCTTGAGAATTCATGTTGAATTTTTTTTTCTACAGGCACACATGAACAATCCCATCGACTGTGAAGGTTCTTGACGCACACATACACACACGATGACTTTATGCTTCAGGGTTTTCTTTTCCAGAAATTTATCGTGTTTCTAGACAGGTTTTAGGGTAATTGTTTTCGATTTCATTTCTGGGCACACATAATTTCAATTTTCGTTTATGGGCACACACTAACACCGAACATCACCACACCTATTGTGAATCAGATTTCAAGATCAAAGTTGGTCGTCTTTGCGAGTGCGGCTCTTATAATATTTGATACATGCATAAGAGGATAGGGACACTATATCTGTTTTGGCCTTCTAGGTGAACAATTTAGAAAAGGGTGAAGTCTTTTCTCTTGATTTTCTGAAGTTCTTGGGGCACCACAACACCTCTGTTCTTTGAGAATACATACAAACCCACACATTTGGTCTCAGGTGATTCAAAGAGAAGGGGATGAAAAGAATCTGATCAATATCTTCTTAAATACGTTCTAATGGTAATTCTAATATTGGATATCTACTGATGGAGGTGAGATTCGTAGCCATCACTGACAGGAGAACACTTTCCTTCCATATGGGTTTCATTTTGAATCAGATATAAACCCAGAAACAATGATACACATGCAGTTCTAGTTAAACCAGCAAATCAATTATTTTCATGATTTCACATAAAATGATTGGGTTTTGTTATGGGTTTTAAGGTTTTTGGGAGGATTGGATAAAAAAGATGAAGATGGTGATTGTACTGTGAGAGAGAGAGAGAGAGAACGGTGGGTGGGGTAGGGGACAAATTTTTTTATTTATTAAAATAGTATTAGAATAATTATAAAAAATACAAAAAAGAAAATAAAATGGAATAATCGTCTTTTCATGTTTTTTTGGACTAAAATCACGGAAATGTTTTGATTTTGGACCTTCCATGCAAGTGAAAACGTTTTTGGACCCCAACCAAAGTTTTTTGAATAGCATAGGGACCAATTTTATAGTTTTTTCATTTATATAAATATATCAAATTTTTAGATAGTTATACCAATTCATCATAACAAAAAGTTAGCAAAAACTCTATGGTGTCTGTCTTAAATGAAATAACGAAAAAAAAATGTCTTGAATAAAACCCGCACCATAACGCGTATCTCGGGAGGACTGATCGGTCGAATAAAACGTGCACCATAACGCTCTTAGCAAGAGATTTTTCACGAAGAAGATCGGTGCTTTCCAAGGCGAATTGATCAGTCGGATAAAACCATTTGTCTAACAGCTCCTGCAGCTGTGTAGACAACTCCTGCATCTTGGGAGGAGCCAACCGATATGATGCTTTGGCTATCGGAGCCGCACCAGAAACTAAATCAATCCTAAACTCGACCTGCCTCTCTGGAGACACCCCAGACAAATCCTCTGGGAACACATCCGGGTAGTCCCACACAATCGACACATCATCCACGGTTGCCTTACCCTTATCCCGGGTATCCATGACATAGGCGACATAACCAGAACAACCCTACTGAAAATAGCGTCTGACCCTCACTGCTGAACACAAAATTAGCCCGTGCTGAGATCTCTCCTCATGAACCACTAACTCTCCCCCACTTGGGGTCCGAACTCGAAGTAACTGATACTCACAATCGATCATTGCCCCATTAGGGCTCAACCAATCCATACCCACAATAACCTTGTTCCCACGCAGAGGAATGGGAACCAAATCAACCGGATACTGCTCGCTGAATAACTGGAGAGTACAACCGCCATGAACCCTCGCAACCCGAACAAACCTATCATTCGCAATCTCAACATCTAAAGGACAATCCAGCTCCCCCGGGGCTCCAGAAAATCTCTTGCTAAGCGCATGAGATAGAAAAGATCGGGTAGCCCCCGAATCAAACAATACCAAAGCAGAAATATCGTTCACGAGGAATGATCCTAAAATAAAACACATAAATATAAGCATCGAATCAATATAAATAAAAATATAAAGAAAAGATACATACCCGTCACCACATCGGGAGTTGCAAGAGCCTCATCGGCCATCAACTGGAAATCCTTGCTCTTCACCACAAGCGCATCTATCCGGCCCTGGCGGCCGTTAGTAATCTGAATAGTTGTAGGAGTTGGTGCTGACACCGGTCCAGCTGCAGCCAAACTCGGACAATGGGCCTTCTTGTGGCACCTCTGATTGCAATGAAAGAAAATCAGATCAGATACCGGGGTGGTGGTGATGGTATCAGTACAATCCCTACTAATATGTCCAGTCCGGCCGCACTTGAAGCGGCCAGAACCACCTACCCTGCACGTCCCCTCGTGCGACCTGTCGCACTTTCCGCAGCAGCCTCAGCCCTACTGGCCCTTCCCTCTTATATAAACAACCTTGGGCCTCTTATCCGAACCCTCAGATACTTGAATCTCATCCGGCTTCCTCTTCCTCTCCATCTTAATATCAATCTCTCTCTCTCTCTCTCTCTCTCTCTCTCTCTCTTGCTCTCGCTCTCTTGCCCTCACTATCATATCCTCCATCGTCTTACAGCTGGATCAGCTCACAAACTACCGAATGAACTCCTCAACATCTCATGATACCATGCCTTCTTCATATCCTCGTCTGCCACATACTGTGGAACCAGAAATGCCCTCTCCCGGAACATAGTGGTGATCTCAGCCACCGTCTCAGTAGTCTGGCGGAGATCCTGGAACTCTCGTGTCAACTACTGCACCTCAAGCACCGGTGCGAACTAAGCCCTGAACCTGGTCACAAAATCATCCCAGGACATCGAATCAAAAGCATCATCACCCGCTGTGCGCCAGACCTCTTCCTACCAATGTCGTGCCCTGTCCTTCAGAAGACATGAGGCAAGTCTAACCTTTGTCTCATTGGGGGAACTGCTAGTACAGAATGTGTTAGCAACATCCGCTAAGCACCTGATGCTCGTTATCAGGTCCTTCGCCCGATGATAATATGGAGCTCCACATGCTCGGAACTCCCTGAAGGTCAATGAACTCTCAACCGCTCATCTAGAATCTCCAGAATACCCTCATTGATCGTGCCAAAAATCATAGGAGTCTGCTCAAAATATTGCGCGTAATCTCAGACGAGATGAACTCCCTTGTCTGGTCATCTAGCTGCCCGACTCCAGATCTGTAGTGGTGTTGATTATGATGACATCTGTGGAATAAGAAAATATCTAGTGCATCATCATACAAAATCAAGAACACATAAAGTAAATAAATATGGGTTTAACTCTCATTAATATTGATAGAAAGAGTACAAATGGGTCTTGCAATTTCTCTCTCTAAACTAATGCTCTCAAAGTGTTCATTAGATAAAATGAGTGTCACTCACTTCCTTATAAAGGAAAGAGAACTCATTACACACATAGAAAGGAGTAAGCCCTCATGACATCCAAGAGTGACTTTGCACCCTAACATTCTCCCCCTCAAAGTTAGGATTGGATATCCGGCTTCAATATCCAACAAGCTCGCGCGATAGAGACCAAACTCCCCCTCGAATTAACACCGGTCTTCAAATCCGCAAATGAATACCCGAAAAACTCGCTTCGAATACCCATCATTCTCCCCCTTTTTATAACAAAAAAAATGATTATAAAACCCATTAAGGGTGAGAAGCGCCCGAGGAATGAACTTCACAATACTCCCCCTTGATGTGTGCCAAAAATGAAACCTTGAAAATCTTGCACAGAAAAACAATCACGAAAAAGCCTCGAAAAAATTTCCAATTTATGAAAAATTTCGACTTTTGGGTGAGAGTTGCAAGATTTTCCAAAATCCAGGTAAAAAATGTCACTTTCTGAATTCTGCAGGGAACCGTTGCGCTAAAAACAGCTAAAGATGCGAAACATTTCCCCATTTGCGAAACTGGGCATAAAGTGTAAGTTCGCACCAACTACAGGGACTGAACATGAAACTTCTTCATTCTTTCAACTTTATTACCCCAATTTCGAAGTTGGGTATTTTCTGCCAACTTTTCGAAACTACAGGGCCTCTTTTCGAAAATTCTGACTCTTTTCTTCCAAAATGTCGAAAATCAGTCCTTATTTCGAAATGGGTGTAAACTGTCAAATCTTTGAAAGTTTAAGAGTAAGTTTCGAAACTTTTTGGTTTTTTTCTCCAATTATTTCTGCACTTTCGAAACTAGACCATTTAAGCCATATCTTCGAAACTTCAGGGATCAATTTCGAAACTTTATGTTTTCTTCTTCCCCAATTCGTGAACCAGTAACAAAACCTTCGATAGTTTGTCCTTCACGAAAAAATATTCGTTATCAAGCATATAGCCTTAAACCAAAATCTTCGCTTTTTAAACAAAATTCTTCGCTATTCGCGATCAAATCCACCAACCTTCGAAACATCGACCACAATGCTACATCTCCAAAAATCATCAAAAATCATCGACATCAACAACAAATATTGACTCCAAAAACCTTTGCTTTTCCGAATCCAAATAAAAACCCAGTCGATTTCAAACAATCAACCACAATCTTTCATTCGTTTTTTGGTTCTCAATCTAATGCAAATCCATATTCGTTACTTATTAGACCTTCGATTCTCAAGGTCTTCCCAAACAATCATCAACCAACATAAGCAAACTTAAACCCATCTTCGACCATCGATCCTTCTTTTCTTCCATCGACTCCTATCATTTACCAATTTTCGAATCCAAACCCAAAATCATCACTTAACACCATTAACAATTATCGATATCACAGTGACTATACCCAATCGATCCTCAATAGCGAACATAATCCTTCTATCTGTCTTCATCCAAACAGACACCAAACATCGAATATATACACAAATTGAAACCGATGTCAACATCATTTACCAATTTTCGACAATCAACATCAAATACAAGATTTCGATATCAACCTGAGTACCATCAATATCATACTAATTTCAATTTTGACTTACTCGCATCAGTTAACTGTCAACATACGATTCGATTCTTGAAGCTTTTACCAACCAAAATCCAAAAACACTTTCGATCACCACTGTCTATTCGATTGCATGACTCATAATCGAACTTCAATCAATGATACTTGGATTTCTAATTTCTAATTTTGACTTTTATTAATTTCGATCACCACTGTCTATTCGATTGCATGACTCAAAATCGAACTTTAATCAATGATACTTGGATTTATAATTGCATGACTAAAAAAACGTAGTATCGAATTTCTAATTTTGACTCCTATTAATGATTTTGACTTTATGAACGAGGAATCATATATGTTTTGACATTGGGCTCACAAAAGGTAAGATGAACAGTAAAACCATAAGTTTAGGCTCATATCAACGAATAGTATCTGAATTTGTCACAATGGGCTTCATGAACATTAATGGATTTCATATGTGTTTCGAAATATGACAAATGAATTTCGAAGAAAAAAAAATATGAACAGTGAATTTCGATTTAGGTTTTGATTTTTGTAATTTTGATCTAAACAAAAATAATTGGATCGATCAATGGGGTTGAAACAGATTAGATCCAATGAGGCAAATCGATCAAAAATGAAAAATGAAAAATAAGAATCGAAATCATTGACGTTTTAGAATCCATTTGAGAATTTGAGATACCTTTTTGACGAATCGTGTTCCATTTTAAATGAACGAATCAAATTTAGAAGATCTTGGTTCTTTG